CTTCAGGTCCCCTATATGGGCGGTCCGCGTCCGTTTCTCGCTGTCCTTCTTTAATTTACAAATGACCGGGGACACGAAATCCATTATGGTGTAGGGACCGTCATATTTCGGGGCCAGTTTTACCGCAAACCCTTCGGCCGCGTTGGATAGATGGTGTTGCTTGACCCATACCTTGTCTCCAATCGTGGGTTTCCACGCTCTCCTCCTCAGGTTATAATACCTCGCCTGGTCCTGCGCCGCTCTTTCGAGATTCCGCCTCACCAGTTGAAATACTTCTCTCAACTTGGCCGCGTTCTCGTCCGGAGTGGGCGTGCCCTGTCCTGTGCCAAGCGCTTCGTCATCGTATAGAGCCTTTGGTAGCCTCGGCTCTCTCCCTTGGACTCTCCCTGGACCACAAACGCCGGCGAGTACCCGGTGGATTCGGACATCCCTGAATTTACGGCCAACATTATCTCTGGCCATTTCTCATCCCAGTTCCACTGGTTCCCTCTGGTTCTGAGTGGAGTCCGAATGGCATCACCTTCCACTGGAACAGCCCTTTGCCGGGCACCGTGAACGCGGTGAACTTTCTACTGCCTTCCTCCAGTGGTATCTGCCAATATCCGTCCTTTAAGTCTAAGCTACTGATGAACCGTGCCTCCCTGAGCTGGTCCAAAATATAGTCTATTCTTGGCATGGGGTACGCATCCTTGATGCACTTCGCGTTTATCTGTCTGAAGTCCACGCATAATCTCCACTTTCTCGTCTTCTTTTTGACCATCACGATGGGTGAACTGTACGGACTCTTCGATGGCTCAATACACCCTCTTTCCAGCAGTTCGTCAACCTGTTGCTTGATTTCGGCTTGCATCTTGGGATTTTTGGGATAGTAACGCTGTTTGACCGGCTGGGCATCACTCATAGTGATCGTGTGTGTAGCTATGTTCGACACTCCCTTCAGTTCTCGGAACTCTTCCAACTCCTTTGCCAGGAAGTTTTCGACCGACCCCTCCTCCGCTCGCGTTCCGTCGGATGCGGGCTCGACAGACCCTCCCGTGTTCGCTACCACCGCCACTGACAACTTCTCCTCCAACCGCCCCTGGCGGTCCTCACCACCGCCGACAGCTGGACATCCTCCACCGTGAGTTCTCCTACGAGTTTTGGGGGGCTTCGTCTTGCGACCCTGGCACGGCCCTCCGCGGCTTGGGTCGCGGGGCGTTTCCCGCTTTCTGGCAGCACTGCCATGTCGGGGCTCCTACCTTGCCGCACCTCCAGCAGAATGTTATAGGTCGGCCATTGCATGCTTGTGCCCAATGGCGGTCACTTCCGCATCGTCGACACGACTGGGCTGGGTTTTTCACGACCCCAGCCTCTATGTTCGTGTTCGCTTGGTCGTCCCGCCGCGTTGGGACCGGCCTTTTCTCCCCTGTCGGATCAGAGCTGGCTGCCGTTTCGCCCTGGCAGCGGCGACATATCTCCGTTACTGCCGGACGAGCGAACGGATTGTTTGCTTTTGCTTTACTCGCCGGACACTCCCGTTGGAACTCCAGCCGGTCCCTTTCCAGAGCCTCAAATTCGTCGGCCAGCGTCATCATGTGATCCAGGTCTCTGCACCTATGTGGCCGGATGAACACCCTAAAATCGGGCATGCTGTTGTCTCTAATAAGCTCCAACTGCTCTTCGGGCGTGCATTTTAGTAGCCGCATGAGGGTCTGCATCTCCACCATGTAGTCCTTGAATGGCTCTCCCCACCTTTGCTTCCTCAACCTCACCTCCTGGAGTAATTTTTCAAAATACCCTCTCGGCAGGAAGTATGCTTGGAAGCTACGCGCAAATGCGTTCCATGTCTGCCACTGCCTGTTGTTGGCTACAAACCACATGAGCGCCCGACCCTTTAGCAGCTCAGGCATGGCTCGCGGAATTAAATTCAACTCCAACCCGTACATGTCGGCTGACCACTCGATCTGTTCCAGGAACTCGAGTGGTTTCGCCGTTCCGTCGAACCGAAACGACCACTCCCTGACCTGCTTGGCGACGTGGGCAAAACTCGAACTGGGCGGTCTCGTGGTTTGTTCATCGAGTCCCCGTCTACGATCCTCCCCTGCTCTCCCTTCTTCCAATCCCTGTGGGTTTCTCGCGCTCCCCTTGCTCCGGCTGTGCTGGCCTGGTTGGCCTCTCCCCACTCTCTACCCGCGGTCGGCTAGGCCACCGGCTTTTCACACCGGGACCGCCAGGCTCGCGATGAGCTCCTCTTGGGTCTCGGACGGCCGTCTCCACAGAGTTACTTGCTCCGCACTCGCCGGCAGCGTCAGGCGCTCGTATGGATCCGCCCCGTCCTCCATCTGGGCCGCGGTCGCGGCTCCTCCCGCCTTCATCTCCCAGGCCTCGAGCGCGTCCGCATACTCCGGTTTCTCTCCATGCTTCTCTATGCAGCTGATGCAGCTGGGCTGGCTCAGCGGTCGGTAGGCTCGCTGCGACGACAAGTAAGAAGGCACGGGTTGGGTCTTGTACTGGTATGCTAATATGCTTTATTGGTATCTTAAGTCTATCCTACGCTATTCCGACTCCGGTGCTGGTTCTCCTCTTGGTTCTCCTCTGTGGTTCGATGAGCGTGTCGCTCCCTGGGCCCCCCACGGCGTCGCCAAGCGTGGCACCGCCGGCTCTACTGACTGGGGCTAGTCTTGGCACGTGGCCCAAATCCGCCTCTCAGTCAGGCGCCTGACGCGTTCCATCTCACTCGACTCACTTGGCTTTCGGCCCGAGGGTGCCTCACTCCTGGTGGGATGCGCTTCAAGCGTGGCACCGTTGGTTCAAGGGATTGGGGTCTTTGGCTCTTGGCTGCACGCTCGAGTCCGCCTCTCAATCCTCACACAACGCGTTCGCTTTCTAAAGTTCTTTTCCCTTCGCTTGGTCTCACTCTTGTGGCTCACTATTCACTTCACTCTTGCTAGCTCCGTTTGCTGACTCTCCCTGTTCCTGGTCGCGGCCCTCCTCTTATAGGCTCGCTTCTGCGTCGGCGCCGCCGATGCCGCCTGGCGCTAACGGCACTTTCCGCCATGCGGTGCCCGTATTTTTCCATCGGCGTTCCTTCATTCCCTTGTCGCTTTCCAACGGGACCTGGCTGGTGGCGTGATCTCATGACCATATTTTGTCATGCGCTGGGCCACTGCCGGCCCGATCCCGTCATCCCGCTGCTCTCTCTCCAGGGGTCCTCCCCTCTCATCTTGGGTCCCCGGGAGAGCTCTCCTCGGGAATTCGCCGCCCTCCGGATATCCCCGGATAACGGCCGTTAGCGCTTAACCCTATACTGCCCCCTACGTGTGGGAATACCTTTCCTCACAAGATACGAGAAAACCAAAAACGCAGAATCGTAGAGAATGACCATATCTTTTAGACTGCAGAATCTGAATTGGATCGTATTATTATTATAGCCAGCATCAAGAAAACAATTTCATTTTTTCTCGCCCTGTCTCTCTCTAACACACACGTAGCATAGGCGGCTTTGCTTAGAGGTAAAAACATTAGCGCCTAGATCTCAGAGACTATAAAAGCTAGAGCAAACCAAATTTGGTATCCACACTTCTAATATATCGGACCGAGACGAGTTTGTTTCAAAATTTCGCCACACCCCCTTCCGCCCCCGCAAAGGATGCAAATCTGGGGATATTCACAAATCTCAGAGACTATTAAAGCTAGAGTAACCAAATTTGGTATCCGCACTTCTGTTAGATCTCACTATAAAACCTTTATCTCAAAATTTCGCCCCCACCCCCTTCCGCCCCCACAAAGGACGAAAATCTGTTGCATCCACAATATTGCAGATTTGAGAAAACTAAAACGCAGAATCATATATAACGACCATATCTATCAGATTGCTGAATCTGGATCAGATCAGATCATTTTTATAGCCAAAGGAAACAAATCAATATGCAGTGGCTACGCAGCGCGTGACGTCACGCTCAGACTGATTTTCTGTCTCTCTCGCACGCACTCTTTGTCGTGTCGTTTAATATTAGCGACGTTCCCCCTCGTTTTTCTTTTATTTGTTCTTGTTTTCAGTTACTTTTTCTTTCATTCTTCTTCTCTACTCTTCTTTTCTCCTCAATACCTAGCCCGGAATACCTCCTGCCGATCGATGGACACCAATAGCCGGTACCGGACGCCACCGTCATTGACCAGACGCTTCACCCTCCTTGCGGTTGGCTTTATCCGCGCGAGAGAGCGCGGGACGACGGCCGGCCACTCCTCGCGTTTGACGGACCGCCACCGTGAGTTGTCCGCCGACCTCGTCTGGGGCCACGATGCCTGGCGCTGGAGCTCGGGCCGGCGCGCCTCCGCCCGCTCCCCTGGGCACGACGCCTGTCGGCCCAGCTTCGGACGCTCGCCCTGGCCGGGTTCCGGCCATCGCCAAGGACCTCTCTCCCATGGCTCAGGTGAGTGTTCGTCCTTCTTCGCTTCCGCCGTTGCTCTCGCGCCCGTCATCCGCTTCGCCGTCGGTCGCCACCTCGACTTTGGGTGCCGCCGCTGGGCCCTCCGCCGTCAGTGATGTTGGCGTGTTTCGTCGTTCCCTCCGTCTCGACCTCTGCCGTCCCCCCGGGCGCCTCCTCGGGCACCTTTTCGGCTGTGGGTGCCACCGCTGGGCCTGTCGACTCCTGTGGCCGTGCCCGCCGCCTCGGGTCCCTCTCGTCACTGGCGCGTGGTGCCTCCTCCCACAGTCGAGCCTCCCTCGCCTCTTGCCCGGGCTGCTGGGGCGAGGGCCCAGAGGCCCACGATATGTTCAGCGTTTGCACGTGCCACATCATGCCGTCTCGTACCCGCGGAGCGCACCTCCTGCGAGACGAAACGGCCCGATGGCGGCTCCCTGTGGCCCGAGCCAGTGCTGGTGCTGCTTACGCTGCTGCTGATGCTGATGCTGCTGCTGCTGCTGCTGCTGATGCTGCTGCTGCTGATGCTGCTGCTGCTGATGCTGCTGCTGATGCCGATCCCCTTGGCCGCGCGCGTTGTCAGCCGGCTTGATCCGGCTAATACACCGCCATTGGTGCGCGACGTCCCGTTTGTGGCGCTCCGCCTCCGCTTCTTTGCGCCGCCTTTTCAGCCTCCTGCGTGGCCTTCAGCCTCTTTGCCAGCGTCAGGGCGTCCTCCCATACACGCCGTTGCCTCCGCTCCTCCGTCGCCGCGTGCCATTCCGCGAGGCGTCGTGCCTCAGCGGCCGCGTTGTTTTCCGCGATGTCGGCCTGCGTTGCCTGCGGCTCTTTGACCGCGGTTTCTGTCGGCGTTGTCTGCGGCTCTTTGACCGCGGTTTCGGTCGGCGTTGGCTGCGGCTCCTCGACCTGTGGGTCTGTCGGCCGCTGATCCCCTCGCCGCGCCGTCGATGTCCCCCTTGTGCGTGCCGACGACTCCTCTTCCTTGGCCGTACGCGTCGAATGCGTGGACGCCCGCTTCGATGCCCGCTCACTGGGCTCCTCCTTCCGCGTCTCCGTGCGCCCCCTCCTTCCGCCATCAGGCCGCTCCTCGCGCTTGCTGGGGTGGGGCTTCTCGCGCTTGCCGGTGCGGGGCTCTTCGTGCTTGCTGGTCCGGGGCTCTTCGTGCTTGCTGGTCCGGGGCTCCTCGCGCTTCGCCTCGCGTGCGCGTTTTCTCCGTGGCGCCGGCTCCCAGCTCACCAATTCCAGGTCACTTTCCGCCTCGGTGTACCCCGGCGATACCACCGGGGATACCGTCGGTCCCATGGATCCCGCGGTTGACACTAGCGGTGAGGCCAATAACTGTAGCTCCGGGGACCTACTCCTACTCGCCCTTTGCTCCTCGCGTTCGACCTGGTACGCCTGCCGCCGACTTTGCGTATCACCCATAGCCTGATACCCGCGGCGAATCCATTTCCTCTGCTCCGTTATATATATACCAGGGTGCTGACCGATCTCCCAGCTCGTGATCAATAGGTCCTCCGACCTTTCGCCCGTGCTGCCAAACATCGGCCCGCCCCCCGTGGCCAGCTCCGCCCGTCTCTGGATCGGCGTAGATGCGGATGTCACCCCCGTGCAGCGCCTAAGACCCAGGGATCATCCGATTCCCCAGCCGGTAGACCGCGCACGGGCGGCATCCGCTTTTGTCCCGCCATCCCCGACGTTAGCAGCTGGCTTCGATGCCCTGGACCCGGACCCGAACCTCTGCTCATCTCGGAACCCCCTTCTCGGGTGCCCCCTCGTCCGTCGACGCACCACGCAACCCGCCCCCCCTGGGATAGTGGTAACCCGGGTATCTTCTACCTTCTTTGCCTTTGATCAGTTCCTATATGGCTGACGAGCTAATCCTCCTTTTTTTTCTTGTAGGTCCAGCTTTATTGGTCCGCCGGCCCGCCGTCTGCTGCTTAGTTTTACTGAACCTTAGTTGTAAGAGTATCCTGTACGGCCTTGTCCTGCGTGGCATCAAGTTGGGCCGCCCGCTCCTCCCTTGTGGGCGATTCCTGTCCTGCGTGACACGCGTGGTTCTTAGTTTTACCGAACCTTAGTTGTAAGAGTATCCTGTACGACCTTGTCCTGCGTGGCATCCAGCTGGGACTCTCCTTTCTGCCCCTGCCGCTAGTCTCTGTCTTTCGTGCTCGTCCATCCTTCTCCGTATGCCTCGCCCGTTGCCCCTCCTTGTGCGTCGTCTACGCTTCGGTTCCAGGGCCTGTTTTTAGGGCTTCCTTCCCCGGGTTGTGGCTTCAGGTCCACTATATGGGCGGTCCGCGTCCGTTTCTCGCTGTCCTTCTTTAATTTACAAATGACCGGGGACACGAAATCCATTATGGTGTAGGGACCGTCATATTTCGGGGCCAGTTTTACCGCAAACCCTTCGGCCGCGTTGGATAGATGGTGTTGCTTGACCCATACCTGTCTCCAATCGTGGGTTTCCACGCTCTCCTCCTCAGGTTATAATACCTCGCCTGGTCCCTGCCGCCGCTCTTTCGAGATTCCGCCTCACCAGTTGAAATACTTCTCTCAACTTGGCCGCGTTCTCGTCCGGAGTGGGCGTGCCTGTCCTGTGCCAAGCGCTTCGTCATCGTATAGAGCCTTTGGTAGCCTCGGCTCTCTCCTTGGACCACAAACGCCGGCGAGTACCCGGTGGATTCGGACATCCCTGAATTTACGGCCAACATTATCTCTGGCCATTTCTCATCCCAGTTCCACTGGTTCCCTCTGGTTCTGAGTGGAGTCCGAATGGCATCACCTTCCACTGGAACAGCCCTTTGCCGGGCACCGTGAACGCGGTGAACTTTCTACTGCCTTCCTCCAGTGGTATCTGCCAATATCCGTCCTTTAAGTCTAAGCTACTGATGAACCGTGCCTCCCTGAGCTGGTCCAAAATATAGTCTATTCTTGGCATGGGGTACGCATCCTTGATGCACTTCGCGTTTATCTGTCTGAAGTCCACGCATAATCTCCACTTTCTCGTCTTCTTTTTGACCATCACGATGGGTGAACTGTACGGACTCTTCGATGGCTCAATACACCCTCTTTCCAGCAGTTCGTCAACCTGTTGCTTGATTTCGGCTTGCATCTTGGGATTTTTGGGATAGTAACGCTGTTTGACCGGCTGGGCATCACTCATAGTGATCGTGTGTGTAGCTATGTTCGACACTCCCTTCAGTTCTCGGAACTCTTCCAACTCCTTTGCCAGGAAGTTTTCGACCGACCCCTCCTCCGCTCGCGTTCCGTCGGATGCGGGCTCGACAGACCCTCCCGTGTTCGCTACCACCGCCACTGACAACTTCTCCTCCAACCGCCCCTGGCGGTGGCCTCTCGCAGGGATCACAACCCTGTGTCCCGCACAGGACAGGTCGCTGATAAAACTGCTTGTCGCCCCGGTATGACCAGTTGCTGCCCGCGATCCTCACCACCGCCGACAGCTGGACATCCTCCACCGTGAGTTCTCCTACGAGTTTTGGGGGCTTCGTCTTGCGGGGCGTTTCCCTTTTCTGGCAGCACTGCCATGTCGGGGCTCCTACCTTGCCGCACCTCCAGCAGAATGTTATAGGTCGGCCATTGCATGCTTGTGCCCAATGGCGGTCACTTCCGCATCGTCGACACGACTGGGCTGGGTTTTTCACGAACCCAGCCTCTATGTTCGTGTTCGCTTGGTCGTCCCCCGCGTTGGCACCGGCCTTTTCTCCCCTGTCGGATCAGAGCTGGCTGCCGTTTCGCCCTGGCAGCGGCGACATATCTCCGTTACTGCCGGACGAGCGAACGGATTGTTTGCTTTTGCTTTACTCGCCGGACACTCCCGTTGGAACTCCAGCCGGTCCCTCTCCAGAGCCTCAAATTCGTCGGCCAGCGTCATCATGTGATCCAGGTCTCTGCACCTATGTGGCCGGATGAACACCCTAAAATCGGGCATGCTGTTGTCTCTAATAAGCTCCAACTGCTCTTCGGGCGTGCATTTTAGTAGCCGCATGAGGGTCTGCATCTCCACCATGTAGTCCTTGAATGGCTCTCCCCACCTTTGCTTCCTCAACCTC